CGACCCTGAAAAGGATAAGCGGATGCGAATAAATGGGATTTTATTGGTTTTATTTGACATAAGTACAACCTTTGTCTATACTTTGGTGAATTACAGTAGAAAAGACTTACTGGCGTGGTGTACTGGTGTCATCACAAATGTACATCCAGCACTCACGTCAATAATCTGATTATAATATAATAATTTCTGAGGTGAGAGTTCAGTTAAAGGAGCACCTCATAAATGATGTTTGCGTGGAGTTGAACTACACACAGCAGAAAGGTGTTAGAAGCAGAGCAGTGACACGATTATTAAACCTTCAACCAAAACTGCTTTTAATAGAAAGGCAAAACAAAAGCACACAAGCAGAAGAGCTCTACACTATGCAAACATGTGCCCCCCACACACACCTACCCACCGCCATGTAAAAACCAAAAGTCTTCATGCTTTGTGTTTTTTCTTTCGATGCTAAGGCCAGGCCAGCCAGTTCCAGCCTCCGTCTCTGTCTCCGTCCTCCTCGCTGTCGCCTTGCTCAGAAGTTCAGGTCACTCAGTTTATTCGTCAGTTTGTGGCTTCCTGCCTGCTGGTGTCCGACTCCAACACTGAGCTGTCCTACGTGCTGCCGTCTGAGGCTGTCAAGAAGGGCTGTTTTGAGAGGCTGTTTCAGGTACATTTACACAAGCAAAGAAAACTCTACAGAATAAACTCACAGCTATTGATCAAGGTTGGTAGTTTGATCCCTGGTTGCTCCCAGTCTGTATGCCAAATATCCTTGGCCAGGATACTAACAAGTTGCTCATCAATGCATCCATCAGAGTGTGAATGATTGATAAAAACATGTGTGTAGAAAAAGAATAAAGTGCTGGTGTGAATGATGAGTGCTCAGGTAGAGTAGAAAAGCAGGTCATTTACATCTTTTCTGATGCTGGTGCTGATACGTTTGTTAGCATTCTATATACAGTCTGGCTAATTGCATAAAAGACAATGTGTTTTAAATGTAATCTAATTCAGTTTTATTTATATAGCACCAAATTACAACCACAGTTACTTCAAGGTGCTTTTGTAAACTAACAACTCTACAATAATACAGAAAACAACTGGCTTGGTGGCTGTGGGAAGGAGAACTCCCTTTTAACAGGAAGTAACTTCCTGCAGAACCAGGTTCAGTCATGTCCCTATCACTCTGTGATAGGTCGGCCGTGCAGGGAGGAAGACAGTAGAACTGTGGATTAATAACCGATGGATGGATGAATGGGTGGATTTGGCCTGCACCAAGCAGACCCCCCACCGGGCACCAAAGAGGCCCAAGCCAGGGGAAGCAACTACAAATGAGTAGCAGTAGGGAGGGGAAACCCCCAACCTCCATGACCATGGCCTGCAGTGGGCAGGGCTCAGCAAGGCCCAGGCTCAGGCCAAATATACATGTTCCCAAAAGGAGACGAGCAAAACTGGGAATGAAAAAACTAAATGGGATACAATAAAAAAATGACATAAATAAAGGACAAAGATGAGGAAACCACACAAGTAGTACTAAAATGTTGAACTCAAAATGCTAGGACAAAGACCCAGCACTATC